TAAAGAGCGAGAAATACCTTAGTTTTATTTTTTTTAAAATGCTTCCTTGTATCTGTAAGAACAAGATGATATGTGTCTGGGCAAGATTACTAAACTCAGCACAGTGGTCTGTGGGTGCTTCACCCATGAAACTCATGCAGACAGTAACTGGTGCATGTTTAGGTGCGTGATTTGAAGAGGTAAGTGGTGAATTGGCAAATGCAGAGTGTGGCGCCTCCTTGCTTTTCACTCAGCAAATAGTGATTCATTCCAGGGGCAAAAATAATAATTACTAAAAAAAACCCTGCAAGTATTGTTATAATATCCAGGGCTAAGCAAACTGCGGAAATTGTGAGTTACTGCGTTTTAGACTGGAGGGGGGGGATCAGCTATAAGGAATATTGCTGTCCTTTCCAGCAGTGTCTCAACATTGACAGGATGTTTATGGGATCCAAGGAGTATCCTATCCATCATGCTAGCAAGCCCTGTGGGTTAGTTTAGAATATCACCTCTTTCCCAAACATTTCTCTGCTTTGTGTTAACAGAATCTTTTCCTCCTCCTGTTCAGCCACACCTTGTCCTTCTTTTGGTCAAGAGTGAAAAACCCAAGGGTTTATAGTCCCTCCACCCCTGACACCCCAGATTTAGCTTAGTACAGCCAAGCTTACACAAGAGGAGGACTTCCGTGTTAACTATTGCTGTTATGATTAGCTTTGTCTCCTCGTTCTTTGAGTACTCCAGGTGAATCAAAAGGTGCTTTTTCTCATGTGATTCTAATCATGTCTTTGGCATAAATCAGTGTTGAAAGAAAGGCGGATAGCTCAAAAGGTATTTAACTACTGCACTTGAGAGACTTTACCTGCTTCTCTGTTGTGGTAATTGATTAAGTCCTGAGGGCTATTTTATACTAGTGTTCTTTCTGCTTTTATGAACGGTATGTATTCAGAGGCATTTTTATACTTTAAGAAGCCTAAATCAGTGAGAAGATTTTTATTTTTAAAGGATGTTTAAAAGTTTTTAAATTTAAATTTTACTGTCTTTAAATTTAGTTCCTAAATTTTCTCTCTCCCAGTTGAATCATCACACATTTCGTTGTTATTAAGTTTCTTTAAAGAGAGGAATTCTTGGTTCTCATCATAGTGAGGGTATATGCATGCGTATGTTTGCAACCATATGAATGGTAAAATGTTATGTTTGTTCGAGTTTGATGGGTGGGTGGGGTTGTTTTTGGTTTTTTCCTTTCTTTGAACTGCTTAAAAATTGATGAAGATTAACTGAGCTCCAAAGAGTAATGGGAATATTTTGTATTTTATTTTTATGATCTTAAAAGCTAACAGGTTTACGGAAGAATGGATTTTTGAGAAGAGTGTAAGAAATGTGAGAGACTGAAAAGAGCTTTTCTAAGGGCAGAGAGAATTTTCTTCACCTTCTGCACAGCTGCCAAAGCATATGGCTTAAAAATCTTGTTTGTTACAATTCATCTGACTCCTTGCTACATGTGCTCAAGCCACCTTTCCCTCACAGTTCTTCTGTCTTAGTTCATCTGTAAACAGTATTGACTTGTGAGAGAGCAGTGCTAATGAAGCGATTGGTAAGATGGTAAATAACAGTGAGCTTGAGTCCCTGAGACGCAGCCTGATTGCTTGATAAACTATGAGCAATCAAATGTGTTTTCTTGCAGCTAAATGCAAGGTTATGCAAATAAGACGAAAGACTGTAATTCTGGTTTGCATGATGAAGGGCTGGGCTACTGTGTCCTGGTCCAGACCCAGACCCCAGCCTTCAGAAAGGCAGCTGGAAAAGTGGAGACAGTTCAGACTGACTCTAAGATTTGAAAAATGTGCATTGCAGCATAAACTGAAGAGCTTGATTTGTTTAATTTATCAGCAATGAAGTAATGAGGCAACTTCATCATATTCTGTGAGTACCCGGATAAGGAGATCTCTGTGAAGGAGGGATTTTTACAGAGCTGTGTTTCTGTGACTGGATGATGAACTCAGCAAAGTTCAAACTGGTAGTAAAGTGCATGTTTGTAGTGCTGAGGTAATTAGTCTTTCTGAAAGATAAGTGTCTGTTCAAGCACCCTTTACATCCAGGATTCAGAGTGTCACATGCTGGATGGAATGTTATGATGTGTCTTATACAGGAGTTTAGAGCAGTTGCAGAGCTTGTAGGTTTTAAAATCTCTGGCTGTATGGGGTTAAATGCCAGTAAAAAACGGCCATACAGGCTAGGGATTGTGGAAGGGTGTTCTTCACAGTCTTAAACATGTCATCACAGTTCTTATGATTTAGCACAGAATACATCTGCTTTTCCCAGAAGGTCTTTGCATGCTGACAGCATGTATTGCAGTGTGAACTACCTGTCATATTTGAAGTAACTTTTCTTCTTGGGAACATTCTGATAGTAAAAGTCATTTAAACAGATAACAGAATGGTCAATATGCCATAAAAATGGAGTCTTTATTGCTTCAGGTGTGTATGTTTTAAGTTTCCTTTAAATCTAGGGGATATTTTCCCAAGACCTTTGAGAATTTGTTGTGTAGTATGGGGTTTTGTTGGTTCTGGTTTCAACTTAGCAGTTAACAAAGCCTGTGAAGTCAGAAAACAGCTTTCTGAAGCTGTGTTTCTCTGAATGTAGCTTTGCTGTAAGAAAAAGCACTGAGTTTTCAAGGTGGTGTGATTCTACTGAGCTACTGTGTGAAGTCTGTGAGCTGTGTAAAACAAGATGCCATCATGCTACTGTAGCGGAGTAGCTGTCCTATTATGCAACTTCCTCTGTGGAATGAGGAAAAAAGTATCTCTATGCTGATAGAGACCCCAAAATTATAAGTGTATTTTTAAAAAATAATAAAAACTCAATAATTTGGCACATTCCCTGAAAGGATCTCAAAACATCTCATGGTCCTCATGAGGGAGATGATATTACTCTTTTACGGAGTGTTAAGAGCCAAATGCTTAGGGTTGGCAAAAAGAACAGGGGGCTTTTGATAAGATATTAAACGTAGCTGATTGCCTCTTGGCCCTAGTTCCTTGTCCTCTATTTTGTTCAAAGCATCTCTTCATCGGGGGAAAAAAAAGTACACGAGTAGCCTTAGATATTGTTTTGCTTCTTTTTCTTTTAGTTGTAGAGTACAGATATGTTTTTGAGTATTCATCCCATTTTCAACAAAAGTGAGCACTTAATGGTGAGACAGATACATAACTGTCAAATTGTATTTTTTATAATTACAGAGAATGAGTTAATTTATCTTATTCCTAGTGCTTTGGAAATGTGATATATATTTTTGGTATTTCTGTATCAATGACCAAAAACGGGCAGGAGATGAAGAGATGGGCAACATCAAGATGTATTTTGCTTATTTTTTTTTTCAGTAGTAAGGATATTTTTTCAGTTGAAAACTATCAAAAGTAACTGTTCTTAAAGATGGTGTTGGATGGAGTCTTTTAACAGTATCTTCTGAGTTCTCGTTTTGTTCTTTTTCTTGTTAGAATATTTTTGGTAGGAATGAAAACAAGACAGAGAAGGAGGGTACTACAAAATTCTTTTTTTTTTTTTTTTCAACACTTGCATCTATTCAACGCTCTGTTTAAAGTTCAGTCAAAGTAGAAATTTCTATCTAAGAACATTGTGGAAGCACTGTTACCCAATTGGTAATATTTTAGTCTACTATTCAGGGTTTTGGCATACAAAAACACTACAATGATGGTTTGCATAGCATAGATTACACAGACTGTTGTGCTCTCTCTTGAATTTTATGTATGCTTTTATTCTTCACACTTAGACAAACTTTGCTTGGGCTGACTGCCTGCATTGTAACGGAGCAAGAACTGTTGTGGTTACGCTTAGCCCTGTATCATGCTGCTGGAGAGGGTCAATAATAGATGAACGTTGTCCATTGTCAGAGGAGGGCTAGGGCAAACAGACAAGAACTGGATAAGGTGGTGTTCACCTGTGAGACAGGCATGTGAGGTCAGATTATTGTGCCTGTGTGCTGTATTTGTCCTTAATATACCATTTCACCAAATGATTTACTAACATGTCTGAGTCAGTCTTGTCTTGCTGTTGCCAAGCATATTGCCTCTCATGCAAGACTTTCTGGTCTAGTCTATAAAGGAATAACCAAGATACTGTGTGTCCTCAATGACATTAGTAAGCAGGAACAATGCAGATGCACTTCAGATAAAATGAACTTCACTGTTTCAGAGTACATAGTTGAGACATTTTCTGGTGTAAAGCAACATAACCTAGAAGGCACCAAGGTGGTCAAAAGGATACTGAATAATTCAGTAGTCTTTATTGAAACATCCGTATGTTATGACTTTGGTATTATATTCCAAATTAACAGTTTTGTTCACATTCCTAGACTTGCAGAAATGCACAGTGCCACTAGCTAATTTTATTTAATGTCCTATATCCCTAACCAGTTTTTTTCCCTATGAATGTTGACCTATATATTATCCATGTCTTAAGCTATGTATAAAATACCACTGAAAATAGCCAGGACTTTATTTAATATAAATGGATTTTGAAATCAAAACACAGAGGAAAACTGTGTTTTGCATATGTTTAGAATGTTCAAAGAATGTTTAGAATGTATATGCGGTTTAGAATGTTCAGAAAAACCCTGTCTATATAGGATCTGATGTTTTCGTGTAAAAAAGCAACACTCGTATATTATAGGTGGTGGTATTCTGTGTCACCTGGGTCTCCATTAATCCCGGCCTCATTGTACTGTAGAGGTGATGGAGCAGATATTTAAACTAAAGCAATGTTTCAGTGCAGGTGTTTTTTTCAAAGAATAAGTTCAGGCATACATTTTGCAAATATTTTTCATTTTAAAGTTGTGAAACAAAAATACTTTTTTGAGGAGAACTCTTGATATGTAAGTGCACTGTAACATTTTAATACTTCTGTGTGAAAGGAAAAGCTAAAAGTAACTTTTTTCCTGCTTAAACTTTGAAATGCTCCTTTTAAAGACAGTAATTGAACTATACTTTTTCATTCCATTTCAGGTTTTTCATCTATAATCATGGCAAAACCTTATGAATTTAACTGGCAGAAGCCAGTTCCCTCTTTTATGCAAGATGGAGCTGTGTTTGATAGATATGAGGAGGTAAGAAGCCAGTTGTGTTTAATTGGCTATCCTCTTTTAAATATGTACCTGTTATGGAATATTTCATGTTTTGCTTTCATTGTGCACAAATAAACTTTCGAATGCAGAAATGTGTGTGGGGAGGAAATACCAACATGCTTTATTGCTATACATCTTTTTTGTTTTTAAAATAAATAAGTTAAAATCAGAGGGATTAAATATATTTTAAAATAAGCCCTGAGCAGGAGAAAGGAAGATTTGGATCAAAATATCTGTAATGTGCATAAAGCTCTCATCTTTGCCGATTTATAAAGCGCATCACTGGCAAAGTGAATCTTTCCTTTTTTTGTACATCTATCAAATAGGGGGGATATGTCTTTTTTAATATATAAACTGAGGACCTGTGTCTCACTCTGGAAAGTAAGAGATCACAAAACATTTATATTCTGATTCAAATGCATCATTTGAGATCTGGAGTGGTTTTATCTCCTTCAGAAAGTCAACCTGTACTCTATCTGAAATATGATTACTATGATGCTGCTTTCAGCTGTGCTTTAATCCAAATCTATTAAAGGCATGCAAACCAGGACATTTTACACAGACAGACAAAATAAAGTGCTGACACATTTACCTTATGCTTAGCATCGATATTGCTGTGAGAATGTTTTTATCAGGGTCTATTTTCAGTCTTGTTTGGACAAAAAGTATCTAAAAGTTGAAGGTTCTCAGTGAGTGCCTTCAGGGATATTAGTATTTTCCTCCTGTCTTTTGAAATGTAAGTAAAAGGTATTTTTTGTCACGAGGACTGCCAAGATAGGGATAGTTGTTTTACCCTGTGTTTTCAGTTTTGGGGACAGATAAACTAAGAAGATAGTAGTGGATGTTGAATTCCTTGGAATGAAGGTTCATAAAAGCTTTATTTTTCTTCAGCAAACACAACTCCAGAAGCTCAGCCTGTGAGGATTCAAGTGAGGGGGTATTGGCTCATGGTTGTTCTCTTGTACCTTAGATGAGAAATGGAGAATGGGCAGATACAGAAAAGAGTTTAAGTGCTCTAATTTTGGTGTGAGACCAAGAATGGTCAGTGAGGCATCTGGGTCTTTGATGTAGTGATAGGGAGAATGAGACATCTGAAAAGTAATACTTTTGCAGTGTAGGTTGGTGTACCCAGCAGGCACCCGTGCGAGACTAGATAATGCTGGGCAGATGTGGGATGAGATGGTAGCACCAGAACTCTTGCTGCTCCTTGCAGCTGAATTTACTGCCTTCCAAAACCCTGTAGTGAGGGGATCCTGCTTGCCACCTGTGGAGCAAAGTGTTGTTTGTTCATCCACATGGTATTCTGTATCTGCATTGCTTGCTGCAAATTTTGCTACAATTTACTCCAGGTTTGCTATGGTACCATTGGGAGCCTGGTTTGTTTCCTTGAAGGGGACTCTTTTGGAAACATTAAAAGGCTTTCACGTACGTAACCAGCTGTACATTTTATCTGCAATTTTACAAGAATCATCAAGGGCTGTAAAAAAACCCCAGGGACTCAGAAGTTAAGAGCTGTACCCTGTAAACAATGAGCACTTGATGGTGTGGCTGTTTGATATCACATTTATGATATACATAAGCTATTATTTAATTGTGTTGTGGTAGTAACTAGATAGCCTACTCAAGCGAGAGATCATTGTTTTGGAAATGCTACACAAACATAGCAAGATCAAATCCCTATACCATAGGGCTTGCAATTTTCAAGAAAAATGTTTCAGATCTAGGCTTCTAAATTTCACGGAAATTCTGTGCTTAATTCCCCACCCTAACAGAAGAGTCATGTTGGGGAAGAAAGAAATGGTAAGTGAACTAAGGCCATACAGCAGGTCGGTGCAGAACTGAGTTTCGGGAATCCTGGTACAGGGTCTGGGTGACTGAACAGCTCTAGTACAGCATGAGAGATCTTTTATGTGCCCAAGTTTCGTTGAGTGGCTAGAAAAATCTGAGTTGCTGTCATGTCAAGCAGGATCCATCTTTAGCTGATGGATGAGTCCCTTAATGAGAAGGATTGCAAAATTACAGAAATATATTTTGAGCCAAGCATTATCATGTTTGCTGAAAAGTCTGAGTCTAGAACAGGGTTATCTCAGCAGAATATGGGAAATAAAAATCAGACATGATTAAGAATCTTACTGGTCATATTGCATCTACATGGTCTGATGGTAGGTGGTTTTTTATCATACAGAACAAATTGCAGAAAAAGTAATTTGATTAATAGAGTCAAGACTAGGGTGGAATATCAGCATGAATGCAGTTTACATAGACAACTTTCTGAAAACAACATTTTTGGTATATCAAGAGCTTTTTGATAGCTGGGGACAAAATAAATGACAAAAAACTGCATGCCTTTTATTGCATGAGTAATCTTTCTGGGAATGCAAGAGACATTCATTTTGATTGGTAGCTAGCTGCATTCTTATGTGAAACAGGAGTCCAAGGGCTGTAAAACTAGTAAATCTGAGGTGTCTGACAACAAGTAGGTTTAACAAGGGACAAGTTCTAGGGTGAAGGCAGGAAAATAGAAGTTATGGTGGAGAAGGATGGGCAGAGCAGTGCGTACTGGAAACTCGTGCATAGTGGTGTTGCCTCAGATTGAGTTGCAGCAACTTTATACTTTCGACGTTGGCTCCCCTGCCCTGTAAAATTAACATAGTTGTTTGCTACTTGGATGGAAAACTGTAATGTTTCAGTCCTTAAAACCTGTGAATCTTGTTTGAGGACATAAAATGCTGTCCAGAAGTGGTAGACACTGTTCAACAATTAATGTGTCCAGGGAAAAAGAGCAATTATCCCAAACACAGCATATCCTCCATGTACTCATCTAGGAGTGCTCAAGGACATTTCCCATCTGTTGATCCTGGAACTTACTTCATGCCCAGGGTTAAGTCAGGGTAAGACATGACCGGAATGTGACCATTCTTAAGCCCATCTGATGCCCCTGTTCCATGGCTGAAGCCAAAAAGGTACCTGTGGCTGCCACATGATGTCCTATATCCCTGGTCAAGCTAGGGAGCTACCTGAGAGTGACCCAGTGAGGACAAACTGTCCTGGATAGACTTACTGACTTAAAAGCATGCTCCATGGATTGAGGGCATTGGAGTTTTTACCTGGTTTTGTTGCCCTTGCTATATGCACAGGAGAGGACATGACATTTCAGAAAGGTACCTCAGTCTTTAATATAGAACAAAGCCCTGAGCTCTGAAACAGTGAACAGTGCTGTAGCCTGCACACATGCTTGTTTTTATTTAATTAAGGAAGTCAGGAAGTCCTGGATTCTTTTTTTCTTTAAGAAGTGATTGTTTCTGCACAATGTTATCCTGCGTTTTAGCCTAATTTATGATGTGTTAATTGAGGCTGGAGGTGTGTGGAGGAAATTTCTTTTTTAATTCAGCTAATATGATTTTTTGCCTTGTCCTAGTCTCTTTGATATGACATTCTGTATTTATTTCTCTGCAAATCAGTATTCTCCAAACTCTGCTTTCCAGATACTCTGGCTACAGAATGCTTGTGGCATGCATGCGTAGTCTAACAGAACAATGCTTCCCAAATTCTGAATGTTAAAATGAAATGTGATCATTTGATTCTGAAGTGGTATTGGCAAATTATATATTTTTAGCCTTTACATAGTTTGAAGCATTTAATTTTCAGTAATTTTTTTGAAGTTCCATTTCATTAAGGTTTTTGGTTAGGTAGGAATCGCTGTTTTTATTAAACAAAACAAATCTTCATAGTTGCAGAGAAGTAGGAAGATACTGGATAAATGCATACCAATGTCTCAAATGGCAGCACAAAGACAAAAAATTGAAATTGTTAATTTTTTTAGAAGTATGTCTCACTCATTTCTGATTGCTTTGGGAATAGCAAATTCTCCAGGAATGTATTTAGGGAGAGATGTAACAATCCTTTATTTTTGAACAATAAATAAATTTATGACATTTGTCAAACTGACTAAAATAACTTTCTTCTCTGTAGGAATCTTTCGTCTTTGAAAGCAACTGTCTCTTCCAAGTGGATGAATTTGGCTTTTTTCTGAGTTGGAAAAGTGATGGAAAGGTATATTACAATTATGTCAGGAATATATATTGGATATTATTGCACTTGGTTTATATTCTGGATAGTTTTTAAAATCTAAAATACTGTGTTAATTTATTTACAAAACTAGCCTTAGTACTATTCTTTTAGAATTGACAGAAGTATTTAAGAGAGAGTTAACTGATATAAAAGGGAAATGTACTGTTTAGTGTTAATTAACAGTGTTTGCAAATAAGATTAATTATTTATTTTTGCTGCAATTCCTAATGGAGCCACGTGTTGACAGACCTTTGAACTTGTACCTTTTTTTGCCGTTTCAGGAAGGACAGGTATTAGAATGCTCCCTGATCAACAGTGTTCGTTTTGGAGCTGTACCAAAGGTACTCTATAGTTAGTTTATACTCTTCATTTAAACACAGAATATTTAAACTGAAAGTTAAATGCAAGATTAAGTTAATTCATTTAAAAAAAATACCAGCAACACAACTTATAGTTTACAATCACAGTCTAAAATGTTAAGTTTTGAAGTCAAGTAATTTGGTGTTATTGCAGTAGGAAGGTTCTGTCATCTGGTCTTTCTGATGTAGTACATTGCTCAGCTTTCAGGATGCAGTGAAAGCAGAACAGGCATTAAGAGCACGTATTGGGAGTTTTTCATTATTTTGTACAGTGTATTGTGATACTTGTTTTAGGGATCTGGAAAAAAGATGTTTTGTATCCAAATGTTGTTCCTATCTGTTTAAATTTTGTTGTATCTTCTTGCTCCATTGACATAAAATGTAGAAAGTTTTGTTTACATCCCCCTTTGTACAGTTAGATGTCAGAGAGGACAACTGGTTGCTATCTGCCATTTTGAAGAATATCAACAGAAGTGCTAGCTAGGAGTTCTGGAGAAACCCAAAACTTTGGAAAATATTTTCAGTGTTATTCTTCAGAAGGGATACATAGAATTTTCTCAAGTGAATTGTGGTCCTCCCTCCTCCAGGCCTTTAGTTTAGATTTGTTGTGAAGCAATACATCAGTTAATACCTCTGCATTTTCACTTTCATGTGTTAAATGTTTCTGTGGTAACTATAGATAGCTATCTGTGAGTAGTCCTCTTGGGAATCCATAGACTAAAAATCTTTCCCCCATAGAGAAGGGCCATGAGAATTGGTGGTACAGACAACCCCATGCTTCATGTGCCGAAAACCATACTAGTATGCTTCAGACTTCAGCTTTGTCTTTACATAGGTAGTTTGCTCTTTATGCCCATTAAATAGCTCTTGACCCTCAGCAGAGACAACAGCGATGTGTCATTAAGAAACAACCAAAATGTCACACAGATCGTAACCCTCAGTAACTTAGGACTTAGATTGGAATAATTTACTTAGAGATTAATTCTGTTCCTCTATTTCCAGTCCTTGGAGTGATTAATTTATCTCTTTTTGTGATGAAAATATAGGTAATTTCTAATCTAACTTTTAAAATATATATTTAAAATACTTTATTTACTTCTGAGTTCTCACAAGTGTGCTCCTAACTCTATGTCGTTTTTCGGGTTTACACACAATAGTTCTAAGTGAAATCACTCATTTAAGATAACTGGCAAAGGTTAATGTATATGGAGATGGAAATGCATCCTTACCATAGTGCATTGCATAACATTATTGCAAATGTAACAAGTTATTTATTCTGTTTAACAGGATCCCAAAATACTAACTGCACTCGAGGCTGTTGGAAAATCAGAAAATGAGTTGGAAGGACGGATAGTGTGTGTTTGCAGTGGCACAGATCTGGTGAACATCAGCTTCACTTTCATGGTAGCAGAAAACACAGAAATAGCCAAGGTATTTCACAATTAAACAGTGTGTGGGAGTTAAAAAAAAAAAAAAGAGAGTTCCTCAGCCATACTTGATTATTCTTCCTGAGTAAGTCAGCCTGCTTGGCTGTCTGAAATACCTGTAACACACAGGGATGCTGAAGGGAAGTGCAATTCCTTTCATTTTTCCTGGTGGGTGGAGCCCAGCCCTCCAAAATTTGTTCAGCGATAACCTAATTGTATTCTGTGATTCATATTATTTGAAAAGACAAAAGCAGGAAAGAAAATTCTTTACAGTTAAGGGGATTCTAGTGTACCCAAGTTCTTTTCTGTGTACCCAAGTTCTTTTCTGTTTCCTGTCCACATGGGACAGTCTTAAGAAAACAATGGTGCTTTTTTACACATCATCTGTCCTGAGAGCTTAAGATTGCGGTTCACAATGCAAGTTCTGTGGCTTCACCAAGGCCTGGTACTCCATCTATTTGTTCTTAACTGCTCTGAGAAACTTGGTCCAGAGTAATGATAGTATGCTACTAGCTTAGATCCAGAGATTCAAGGGATTTTATAAATAAACATTTTTTGCTTTTCTCTTATGATTGTAGGTACTTACGGTGTATTATCATCTCTTTTGCCTGTGAGATAAACATTGAATAGTGATCAGTAACATACGCCTGTTAAATTCCCTCCTTTAAAACTCTGTATCTGTTTGCTGAATACGGCATCACAAAATTCCCTGGCATGGTTGATTTTTCATTGCCTTGGATCCGTATCTCTTTAAACACTGGCAGTACCGAGTAAACTCCATGATAGGAGAAATACTTGTATAACTTACATGGGTACACTAAATTGATCTTACTGTGTGTATTTTCAGCAGGCTTCCAGGGAAATAACGTGTGACGGTTATATTTTGAAAACATCTATGAAGCAAAGAAAAGGAGATGCTGGCAGCTTTCACTTTTATACTTAACCCAACAGTGTCTCTGATTTATTCTGAGAATAGAAAGTTGGAATTTTTAGCCACCTTACATTCTCAATAAACTGTATTAGACTAATTGGTTTGTGAGGAGTATGTTGGCCACTTATATAGACTGTCACAACAGGTGAGTTAATTATACTGTCTAAAAGATCTACTGCTTCATTAACTGCCCAGATGCTTACCAAAAATGGTGTGTCATGCTGCAGTCAGCTTATGGGTAGGTGCTGAGAGGCTCATAAATGTGAGAGTCTTGCATTTGGGAGTCTTTCCACCAAAATATATATCCAGAACTTGTCAACAATGGTGATCCACCTGATGTAATACATTTGAGGCACAAGGGAGAGGGTAAAGCAGATCAAGGCAAAAACAATGCAAAATTTTCTAAGTTACCTTTGCTGGTGATATGGGCATATGGGAAGTAATTTGGCCTGTACTGTATCGGCCTTTCATAGATGGTGTGTAATACTTGTTACTATACTTCTATGCTAAAATAAAATTTTCTAGGAGTCATTTGCACATAGAGCTATTCCTGCTTAATTCTTCTGGTTTTGTTCATGAGAAGACATCTTTCTTCTGGGACATGGTAAATCTATGAAGTGAGTCTTTGCCTGGCGTTAAGTATCTGTGCAGCTACTAACTGCACTTTAAAATAGACCTTGATTTAATCCATGTTCAAAAGTAACCCCGCCTTGTAAAATGACAGAGGTGAGAGTTTGGAGAAAAAGAGGCAATGATTGTAGCTTAAACAGCCCAGCTGTGCATAAGGGATGCATCTGTGCTGGTTTCTGCTGTTTCCCCCTCTATTGCCATGATGAAGGTGGGCATTACTTGCTGTCGATCATTCAGCTCTTCCTCAGATAAACCAAGATTAGGATTGGTTGGTGCCTGATTAGGATACAAGGGAATTTGGTGACAGTTCCAAATACAAAAGCCAGAAGCTTTCTACCCAGAAAGAGGGTGAAAAGATACTCTACTTCTGTAGGTAATGTTTTAAAGTTGGAAAATAAGTAATTGTTATTCACTGAAGGCTGGGTTATAATGGGACTGAGTAACCTGACAAAGAAGGAAATTAATGCAAGTTCCTGGCTTCTTCAGGCTACCAGTGTAAGGAGTAGTATTGGTGGGAAGCAGATACTGCCAGGTGGATAGGACAGGATGGCAGAGTGTGGGGGCAGTCCCTTAGGGGTGCCCTGACTGTGGCAGGTGAACATAGAGCTGATGCCTTCTGTGGGCAGTGGTGAACCCTCCATTCCGGGCACAGCTTGTCACAGGCTATCTGTTGTGATCTGTCATCGTCTCTGCACTAGGGCAGCCCCACCTTCCTCTGCCCCTTGTGGCGATGTGCTCAGCAGGTCTGGCCAAGTCATCGCTGAGCTCCAAGTATAGCTGTTCCAACAACAAGAGTGTGTTTATTATCTCTCCACTTGTCTCCAAGCTCCAACTCTGGTATTTACATTCTATCTACTTAAATTTTATTGGTGTTTTCAGCTGAGAAATTGGTTTTAATTTCCACTCTTAAAATAACCACAAACTACAGTGTACTCTCAGTGATTGCAAGCAGCTGTCATGGACCACTTTAAAGAAACTCCATTGTGGTAGTAGATGGTGACTGTAAAAAGTGGAACTTAAAATCTAATGTTTTGAATCCTGATTAAATCAGGTGATATAAATTACTGTGAGCCAAAATTAAAACACACACACGCGTACTAGAGATGGTAGCATATGTGTGTATTTTTCTTTTTTGCTTCCCAAATGGACTTTCTGTGACCTAGTAATCTGATAATCTGCTTTCCCCAATCTAGGACGTTTGAAAAGGCCAGTGAGTGTTTGGGGGCAAATTTCCTTACTGTAGAAGCAATGTAGTGTTGATGTAAGGCCTTAGTGCATGGCACGCAGACTGCCTATCCAAAGCTGGTGTAAGTCTAATAAAGCTGTTGTAGTTCAGCAACCCAGAATCTGGACTTGTCTTCTTTGCTCATCCACTTTGGCAATGCATTAAGGAGTTTAATTTAAAAATATTAACCTAAGTCAAGTCAGCTTTTTTTTACATTCTTTAGTATTACTGCATACCAGGGGTAAATTTGTCCTGACAATTGTTCTTGCCCAGATCCAGCAGTGTTGTTGGGAAGGGCCATCTCTCCAGCTGATAGTTTCTGCCCTTCTGCCAGAAAGTACTGTTCCCACTGCCCTGCTGGCAGAGGACTTTATGTGAATGCTTCTAATTCACTTCAAGGAACAGCCATAGCATTAAGCTCCTGTCACCTATTTAGGGGCAAAGCTCACACCAGCATTTAAGATAACCTGTCTCTGGGAAGTGCTGATGCACACTATTCCTCTGGCAGTAGGTAGGGATGGGAGCAGCCACAGGGGAGACAGGGTGGGAAGGAGAGTGGAGTAACCTTTTACACTGGCATAGCTGAATTTGATAGAAAATAGATATTTTCTAAAGGTGTGTTACTCACTGAGACAGTGAATCACATGTTGATTGCTAACCTGTGAGCCACCAGAACGAATAGCATGTGCTGAAATGCTTTGTTACTCATGCTAACAAACAACATAAAAGTAAAATGCAAGCTTTATCATACAGCTAATAGTATTACGGCATTGAAGATGACTCTAGTTGAAAGCATTTCATTTTGACGTTCTTAAACTTCTCAGCTTTTCAGTTGGAATAGTATTTTTCATTTTCAGATTGATTTCTGTTTGTTTAAAATGGTTAAATGGACCACTGTGTTTTGGTAGTATGAAGCACTTCAGGCTGATAGTTTTTGTTGCTGTTCTACTATATGGCTCTTTTTGACTTACAAAGAAGTTCTATTTCAGTTGACCCTGACTATTTTCCATGAAACAAGCTGTTGATTATTTGCACGAATCATATTGCTAGGAAGGCAACTAGAAGGTAGCAGATGATTCCTACAGGAATATCTCAGTCACATAGTTCTCTTTTCCCGTAGCTTTGGTTTGTTCTGATGTTTCAAAGCAAAGCTTCCCAAGAAACCTGCAGAACATGCTTGAACAGAACTCTCAAAGTCTACTGCTGTTTTCTGTGTCCCATTATGTTAGTATATGGCTTATGTCTCACAGTCTATGTGATAAACATTTCTAAACTATGCCTGTCTTAAATATATGACCTTTGCTTACATGTTCAGGTAGCCCTGGGCCAAGTATGTAATACCACCTTCTCTAGAGAAATCTTCATATCCTAGCAAGCCTGTAGTTAAGTGTCTGTGATTTCAATGTGCTAGCTTTTCTGCTTTTTTCGTGTTCTTCCTTGGCTATGCCACTTGGCGTTATCAGTAAATTTAAAACTTCAGACTTGGTTCTCTGTAGCCAGGAAATGGATTTCACTGTGTAAAGCTCCACTGTGTTAGTCTGTATACAAAAGCAGCCAAAGTGAGTCTTCCAGCTGCTTTCAGAGTAGACCCCTCCAGTGCTGGAAAAGTCATTCTGGGGTAGAAAGCTTTCTTGAAGGGTGGAAGCAGTTTGGACACATCAGACACGTCCCAGTACAGTGTTTGTGTGAGCCTCAGCTTTCTAGATTAAATACTTGAAGTTGGAAGAGTCCCTTTTATCTTTTGAACAGAATTTTCACAGCAATATCGTGCAAGTCTGTGCTGCAATTGGTCAGGTAGGGGACAGGTTTTACACCATCACTAGTCTAGTCTCCTTGCTTTTACTGTCTTGTACATTAGAGGTATGGTAATTTCATAGAAGAGAAATCACTTCTGAGACAACTGCATTGAGAGAGGAGGGACATCTACTGGTCACAGCGCCACTGGCTGAGGGCAAAGTGCCAGGGAATCCTGCCAGGTCGTGTCTGTCTTGGTAGGAGTTGGGAAATATGGTTCTATTCTCCGTGGGTTTCCTGAACCTTCAAGCTATCAAGCCCTTGACTCTCACAGCCAGTCACAGGCACTCAATACCAAAATCGGAGGACAATGCCTCCTTGCTTCCCAGTGTTCCCGATGCTTGAATTAAGTAGAGTGCAACTGTGGAGAGACTGCACGGAAAAAGTGAAGGTAAAATCTCAAGAAGTCTGGGAAATACTGACCTCATCTGTAAATAAGCCATGGATGACCTTGTCTAGAATTTTATGAGATGTAGGTTACAGTGATTTTTAACCTTTTGTAATTTCTGCCCTTTTTAACCCTCCTAAATGAAACGTTGATAGCTAAAACAGAGCCAAGCTGTTAGACTTACCTGTGTGCCCAGCCACTGCTGCCTGTGTTTCATTGATGAACCTCAGCTAACGCAAGGACACTAAGTGCCTTAGAAGCATTTGAGTACTACAGCAAAAGCTGAGAGTGCTTCTTCCATAAATTTTTCTTGCACCTTCTCCTCACAGAGATATTTGACAATGTTGAATCTTGTTAGGCAAAAACAGCACAATCTGCTTATTCCAGCCTGCAGTGTACTTGGATTTTGTCCTCTAGTGTCAGCCTAAGAGTCTGTGTTTAAGGTGTACTTGTCTTTGTTTCTTTTCATGGTTGTTGTTTCTCTAGGATTAGATAGTAGGGCCCAGGTTCCTCTTTTATATGAATCTGAAATAATTCTTGGTATATAGAGAGCCATTCAGGAGTTACATTGACAGATTACAGGTACTGAGACATATTTTGAAAATCTGTAAATACTTAGCGCTAGCATCAGTAAGAATCAATTGTATCCTGTATTTCTGTGAAAAACACTTTGTAATTCTACTTTCTGTAAGACCCAAGTGTATTTCCTATTTACCTAATTTCAGAATTTCATCTTGTTATAGGATTTTCCTTCTTTGGAGAGGGCATGATTTGGAAATGCTGAGCACAGAAGAGCTGAGGATCTTTATGCCTGGCATACATAGTTTTACAGGTCTTTCAGCTTCATCTGTAAGAGTGCTCTCGTAGCACCACGAGCAAGGCTGCTGCTATGTTTATTGTCGTGTATTAGCTGAGAAAAATCTGAGCTCTTCTTTCATCCCTCCCACAAGGTCATCAGACAAGCGTACATTAGATCTGGGAATTGTTTGTTGTCAGGAAAGCAATATATTGCCAGCTTGCATTTGTCAATGTATTCAGGCTTTGGATATTTTGTGAGTGGATTACAGTGCCTTAGAAGTGATTATGAAGATAGTTGTTATTTGGAGACTATTGTGGCTCAAAAGGATGCTCTGTGTTGACCAGCTGACGAAAGAATTTGCATGTGTTGCACTGAGCCTGTATATTAATTTGTGGATGAGGAAATTTTTTCATCTTACATAATTTTGCTTCTATATTGTATGTTCACAATCCAGAAGCATTTCTTTAACTCAGTTCTCTTATTGCTGGTTAATTTAGGGCCAGCTGGTAACCGTGGGGAACATCTGATGAAACACTCCAGAAACTGCTTTAGTCCCGAACTAACTAGTCCCATTGTAGTGCAGCTGTGTGGTGTGGTACAGATAGGCAAACGTGTCTCTGGAACTGCCATGTCTTGCACTGGGGACATCGTGCCAATGTAAAGATGATTCATAGATGGACAGAGACTATTAAGTTCTTCCCTTGCTTGGTGCCAGCAGAGATGTGATGCTTTTGTGGTTTATCGGTGTTTGGCTATGGTTCTGTACCCTTTCAGGGTAAAAGAGAACAGTTCCTGATTTGGCACCTCTAACAGGAAAGGGCATTATAATTGACAAAAAAGATTAGGCAGTCCTCTAAAGTGGGAATCATCAGGATAATTCCTACAAAGGAATTGCTTGGTAAGTAGTTAGTGTGTTGATTTCTCTCTAGACTTATATTTTTTTCTGGCAGCGTTCCTTTTTGGCAACTGTTCTTGATGTACAGAAGTAACTTCAGAACTGCGTGCTGGATAACCTTACTTTTAAATGTTAGATGTTGTTCTGTCTGCTGTAGTTGCAATCCATTGCCTTCAAATCAGAATGGATCTCTGTGTTTTTATTTCCTATTGAAATGGTAACATTACCAGTATTGCACCAATGGCATTTTTTCAGCAGAAAAAAGGTTATTCACAACATGCATTTTACATAATTTAGTTTTGCAAGGTTGTTCTGTTTTTTTTTTTTTTGGTTTGCAGTGCATATGCCATTTTAGTTTATGGGTCAGTGTTGAAAGGCTGAGAAGCTTTTAAGGGACTAGAGACTAATTCAGATCATATGAGGATAAATTTTTGCATAGCTTTGACAGTGTTAATGCTGCAGTCATGTTACATTTTACTGTTGTTTTCTTTTTTAAGTCAAAACAACAAAACGATGACCTAAGACAAATCACAAAGAACGTCATTCCCAAGCTCAGATAGTTGATGATAGTTGAGTAATGATAATTGAATTTTGACAGTTCTAGGAGATTGAAATATATGTAAGACTTATTCAGACAATTTTCCTGAAATTATCACAAGCACTATTCCTATATCATCTTAGGTGAGAGAACATTTGTAGGAAAAGATAAGCATTCCCTAAATCTGTCAGTGGCTTCCAATTATGTCAGTTCTGATCGGTAATATTATCTCTCCCCATGAAGCTCGCTTTCTTTATATCCCTAGAGAGTTCATCCATACTATGACTTCTAAGTCATCTCATTCATGCAGTTGGGAAAAGAGAAATGGGAGGGCAGACTGTTACTGGTGAGTTGCTTACAAGCACAAAAACACACCTGAGAAAACCCCGGTGCTAGGTTTTCTCTTAAGTCAGACTTCTATTTTCAAATTATTCTTAGATATATAATTTGTTCTATTTGTATGCATATTTTATGCGGTATTTCTTAAAAATGATAATTTGAAGATGAATATTTAAATATTAATAAGTGTCTTAATAAATGGCTAATTTTCCTAATGCAAAATAGATTTATAAGGTCCATTTTTAAGAGAGTCTGATAAACAATTTCTTGTTTAAAAATAAGTTTGTGATGTGCTTGTAGTGTGTCATGAGTACAAGGGTCTGCTTAAGTGTGTTTATCTGCTGAATTGACACCTTAGACCTTGTTTTAGCCCACAGGGATTTACTGTCTGCGGTTTACAGTATGCCATTTTCCAAAGACGTTAGTATTCCTTCTATATAAATGCAGATTTTTTTCATCTATTTGCAGATGTACAGCACTCATTCATGAAAAGAAAAATATACTCATCTGCATCTATTTATAAGTGTCAAATTCTGGGTCCTGCCCAAGTCAGTTCAAGCTGCATGCACAGAATTTGGCCAGAAGCAAGAGGCTTCTTTATTTATAAGGTTAATGTTAAGCAGTGGACCAAATTCCATCTCAGTTCCACCTGTGTAAATTATCTGTTGAGTAATCCTGGCATTACAATGGTATAATTGAGATTGAACTTGGCTTGTAGTGCTGGTTTTGTTGGTGGTGGTGGTTTTTTTTCTCTTCCTATAGCTTTATTGTGACAGGACTCTTGCTGAAATCAACGAGTGTTCATATCAGGGCCTAATCCTTAAGCTTCTTCTATACGGTACTGCAAAGTCTAGATACAAACTATAGTAGAAAAATATATCCATAAAAAGGAATTAGATAAGTGCTGTAATGCTGCTGTTGGCTGAAAGTCATCCCAATGATAGCTGGAATGTTTTGCTTTTTAAGGATGAAAGCCAGAAAGCAAGAAGGACTTGAATATGTAACAGGGTGTTAGATGAGGTCAACATCACAGAACAATTGTTGTGCTTCCCTGTGGTTTGCTCTAGCTTATTAATATTTTGTTTCATTCCTTTTCTAAAACTGGTTTAAAATGTCATCACATATTGTATAATGTTATTTAGTAATAGCTAACATTGCCAGCCACAACTGAAAAGGAGGCATATGCTTATACAAGCTATGAATAGAAGCCTTAATAAATCAATCAATGGACCACTTGCCTTTGCTGGCAATAAACTGTTTTAATAGCACCGCTGATGCTACATGTAGTACTTGGAAGAATGGAAAGCACAATCACTTTATTTAGTGAAGGGTGAAATAGTAATGGATAAAATGTGGCTGGGCTTTTCCGTGGTGTTATAGGTTGTGAGGTGGGCATCTTTTTCCTCAGCTCAGGTTATTAACATTATCCATAGCTGCAAGGAAGAAGAGCCTTCTCCCAAGACAAACTTCTTTTTCCTTCTTCAGTTTTCCTAATTTGGTGTTTCTGTATTTTCGTGTTTTTCAGCAATGGGTAGAAGGGCTTGGATCCATCATACATAACTTTAGAGCTAACAATGTCAGTCCCATGACATGTCTCAAGAAACAGTAAGTTACTTTCTTTCTTCTCTGTTCTTCTTTATTTTTCTGTCCTTGAATTTTCCTTCTTGGAATTTTAAAAAATTAATAATATTTTCTTTTTCATAGTTCAACACTTGCCATCACAAAATACTGTAATAAAGAAAATGATGTTAAATTAGTTTAGGGTTTATCTTTCATTGTGACCAGAAGTCTCAAGTATATATCTGGCACCTGCCCAGGAGACATGATAAGATAATTTATAACTTTATTTGATTTATTGGTATTTCAAGTTTTAATTATCTGGTTTGTTATTTCATTGATGCATATGCAAATAAAACCCCATGAGTCTTTCTTGTCTTCGCACTCGTGTTAATTAATGTACTGATTCTTTTCGGCTGCTTTTTGCCTTTACAGTTACAGAACTGCTCTGCCTCAAGCATTAAAAGGTTACAGAAAAATGTTTTTATTACAAAACAATTATTTGTTTGTACTCATTTCACAGTCGTGGCAATAATTTTAATCTAAATATAAGTACCTAGATCCCAATTTTAATAAATAGTATTTTAAAAATATTTCATTCTTAATTTCAGCTGGATGAAGCTGGCCTTTCTAACAAACACAAATGGGAAAATTCCAGTTCGGAGGTAAGCACAATTCAGTGTTCAAGGTTTTTATCAGGTACTGGTTGTCTAATGTTAGTAAAATTCAGTGGCTTAATAATGAAATGTAATATCAATTTTATTGCTGATACTTTTGGTAAAATAAGTAGAGAACTAGATGTATTTAGCTGAGTTCTGTACCTCCTTGGTAAACTAGGCAGGACTTCTTTCTTCTTAGTCCACTTTAATGAAGATATGAGTACTTCTAATAGTTTCCAAAGTCACTTAGAGCTAGGATGATCAGTTTTCTCAGCTTAAAACTCCTTAAACTCTGGGTTGGGTTTTTCAGTTGTAAAACTTCATAAAATACTTATCAAAAGAACCATAAAAACTTCAGGCCAGTTAAATAGAGGACAAAAGGTACATTTTAGTCTGTAGACAGATACGGCTCTGCCAAAAATGCTTCTGCTTTTATAGGAACCCCCAGGTTACTATTTAGTGTTCTCCACATGGTAAATGAATTGTTGTGTTAGCTGTTGTCAGTAATGGAAAGCTAGAACAATGTATTTCTTTCTGTACAGCTATTAACTGTTACAAGTTACTGGTTTTCATTCCTTTCTGGCTAGACAGTAGTTCTACTCCCTCCTGCTCTAGAAATTAATTGGTGCTGCTACATGGAGCTTCTTTCCTCTTCATGCAATATGTGAAAACCACACTTTTGGGGCATGCTGTTTTTTCATAAATAGAAACTCACAGAAGGGAGCAAAGAGGACTTTGTCAGATAAGCCTCGCAGAATTTTTTTTTTCAAGGGAGAAAGATTGGATTTTGCATCAGAATTTGCAAAAAGACAAAGGGCCTTCCGTGCTGCCTTCCAGTTTTCTTTATTTTCATGATTCAAGTGACACCTTGACAGTGTTAAAGCTGCTTCAGTGTATTAATCCTTCAACTTTCACATTGCCAAGCCCCTGTGTATTTCTCAAACTTGAACTAAACTTCCATGAGGCACCTTCTTAGCAGAAGTCCCATGAGAAATATCAACTGAAGGGTCAAGATGAGGGAACAATACTATAGGGACAAATTAATTTTCAAGACTGTAGAGCTTGATACCTGTGTTTGAACATACGTGTTCCTCAGTATGAATTTATAGTGTGCTTTCTAGCTTGTCTGAAAGTGTTTCTACCTTGAGATATTTTACCTCACATTTAGTGAGACATAAATGGTCTCCATTGTGCTACAGCACACTCATTTGTGTACGCAGGCAAGCCACGTATTGCTGAAGAGAGTCTGGTCCGCTGGTTCCAGTGTATTAAATCTTCGTGCCAGATCTGCAGTTTTGAGTTTAGAGGACTTAAATGGTCTCTTAAAACCGAATATTTTATCTTAAAAATGTTTCCATTCCAAGAGTTTGTTTTTTTTCAAATTTGCACTCT